GGCTAACAAAAAAGTCAAAATAAAAATATAAACTTCAAGTTTTCAAACCATTCGTTGGAAAGTGTTAAGGAGAAAACTTAAGGATTGTTTACATACATATGTTGTGTAGTTCTTATCCATACTTTTGATACTTAAGACAAAATTGAAGGATTGAGACACATGCAGCCGGGCTGTCATCCATTAATATATCCAATCAATTGAGTTCGATTTCTTGGTTGGCTTTTTGTAACTCAATTCATTTAGGTTAAAAATAAACTTAAAATTAAGTTTTTTTTTTAAAAGGAAAAAAAAGTATGATCTTGGATAGATGTTTTTTTTTTTTTTTTTTTTTTTTTTTTGAGGAAACCTCGACGGTATGAGAAAATTTTTATTGATAATGAAAAAATAAGTTACATCTAGTTCGGGAGGACATAAACCTTACTCCTAAAAAAACAGAGACAATAAAAAGGAATACACAAAAAAGAAGAGGGGACATAAACTTTACCATTCTAGAAACAAAAAAAACGAGAATGAAATAAAGAAGGGGGGACATGAAACCAAACCTCTCTAAAACTTTTTTTTTTTTTTTTGGGAAACCTCGGCGGTATAAGGGAAATTTTATTGATAACGAAAAAATAAGTTACACCTAATAGGGGGACATAAACCTTACCCCTCAAAAAACAGAGACAATAAAAAGGAATACACAAAAAAAAAAAAGGAGAGACATAAACCTTACCCTTCTAGAAACAAAAAACGAGAATGAAATAAAGAAAAGAGGGGGGGACATGAAACCAAACCCCTCTAAAACCAAATACAAAGATCTAAACATGCAAAACAAGTCAAACAATCCCGTAAAGTTAGGAGGGGAAAAAAAAAGTGAGACAAACCTGGATGCCGACATACACGTTAATTTGAGAAGCAATAACCAGGCAAGCCAATATAGTCTGAAAACAAAGTAGCACGAATCGTCATCGAGGATAATCATGCCAAGTTAAAGATGGAACCATTGATTCATATAGAGATAAAACCGTATAAATTTGTTGGTTTTTTTTTATGAGAAATATGAATTTTGGCAATATATTATAGCTTTGATCCAGTTATGTCGGCCAATTGCAAGTGTCATCATCTTGGTTCCTATAGAAGTTTCACAAAAGGAAGCATATGGGGTACTAGGAAGCTTACATGGGGAACGTCCAGCCCATGTATATTGTTTTCCTTTTCCAAATGGCTTATTGGGCCCTCAAAAGCCTCCAAAAGAAATTCTTGAGTTCAGAAGTATCGTAAGTGGATCACATCTTTTGTTCGATTGTACTCAATAAGAAATGTTTTTGCACTCAAGTTGAAATTATCATAGGAAACGAATGAGACCCGAATGTAAAAGAGTATCATTCTTTATGCGTGCTGACCGGAAATATGACGTGGTCCACCCGCTGAGCCCTAGTATTTCTCCTAAAAATGGCCTTAAGATAGAAGTAGCTATTCCATACAAAGTTGAAGGCATGGAATTAGGGATATGGCTTGGCAAATTTAGCTGACTAGATACGGTTTGTTGCACCAAAAAGGTGTCATGAAAACGTACACGTCACTACAATACAACAAAGTAAAGCAAAATTTGAGCTTAATAAACTAATCAACAGTGAATCAATGATATTAATCAGAATATCCTTCTTCAAATCCAATGTCAACAATTCTTCTTCTCTTTCTTGATCCTATTAAACCACATCATGGCCAATCATAATAATATAATATTGAACTACTCGTTCAAGGAAATCGAATTCACCATCCGTAAGAGCTAAACATAAAATCTTTTACTTTCGAAGTAAAGAAAAATATGAATACATCGTAGTATTAGCGACTATTTAAAATCCAATATCACCTTCTCACGCCTTTGATTCAATGCCTTTTAAAGCACTCTTCTATTCGATTTATCTAGCCCTTTATGCAAACCAATAAAAAGTAAATACCCTTCAATGTCTATTAAAATTCTTATGCCACTTTCTATCTAGCTAACAACTAACAAGTATCTGAAAGTCAAACGAATATAATAAATGGCACTTACTAGTTGAGGAAAATAAAATAAGGAAACTGGTATTATAATTTTCCCTCTTGCATGGGGTGAGGTATAGTAAAATCTCTATAAAAAATCATTTTGGGACTAATAAAAATAATTACTTTTTTAAAGAGGTTATTACTATTTCAAAACTTAATGCCCTAGAAGATAAAATATACATTGGAAACATATTTTATGAGTAGGGATGCAACTCGCGTGGATTGGGCGGGTTGGAAAGTCAATCCAATCCTAGCCCAACTTTTACAATTTGGGCTCGGGTTTGGGTTGGATTTTCATTCGGGTTCATTTTGGCTCAGATTTAATTGGGTTAGGGTTTACTTGGGTTGGGGTTTGGGTTGCCCAACTTTTTCAAGTTTAATCTTGTAACAACTTAGTTTCCAAGAATTCCTAAAAAAATTAAGCTAAGTAGCATCGAAGCTAGCTAACTCTAATTTCATAAATCAATCTACTATAAAGCTTTAGGATTTATAGGCTACAAATATGGGCTGACTAATCAAAGCCTCTTATTCCCTAAAAACTTAAGTAAATATAAAGGGTAATTTATTAAAAAATTATTAGAAAGGGTGTTAGTTTTTGGACTTGGCACACTTGGGTGTAGTATGAGCACTAATTGATATGAGTTACAATCTGGTTATATTGGGTGTGGTTAGTCAGGTTAGGTTGGGTTGGAGATGGACAGGCAAATGATCAACCCAACTCAACCCAATCAATAAACGGGTTGAAATTAGGTTGGGTTCAAACGGGTTATAACTAAAAAAAAAACCCACTTGTTCGGGTTTAAAGTTGGGTTGGACATGGGCGAGTTTGGATTGTGTCACATCCCGGGCACGACTCCGCCGTAGCACGATATTATCTGCTTTGGGCCCCGACCACGCCCTCACGGTTTTGTTTCTGGGAACTCACGAGCAAGTTCTCAATGGATCACCCATCATGGAATTGCTCTCACGCGAACACGCTTAACTTTGGAGTTCTGACAGAACTCGAAGCCAGTGAGCTCCCAAAAGGCCTCGTGCTAGGTAGAGATGAGAATATACATATAAGGCTTACAGGATCCACTCCCCTGGACGCTGTGGGATGTTACAAATTGGCCCAACCCAAGTTGCACCCCTGTTTAAGATTGAGTTGAATTGAGAAAATAGAATTTGTTAAAGTAAAAAAAAAAAAAAATTCAATATGTGTTATTTATTTTATTTCGTCAATTATTAATTTATATATTTGCTGGGTTTTAAAGGATTTTAAGAAAAAAAAAATGATCTTATACATTTAACGGGATTATTATTTTAGTAGGTTGGCCTAAGTCAGGGCCAGAAGATTTTAGTTTAACTGAAGTTACTAATTTATTGAACATTCATTTATTGTATTTGGAACTTGGAAGCGACCTAAAGTAACTATTGTTTTATTCCTTCTTATTCACTGTACTTGGGCAAATTTTCAAATCAAACTAGCTCTCACAAGTTCATTTCAAACAATCAAGAGCTCTAGGGCATATGAAGAGACTCATCAATGAATCATCTACTTTTTTGACTTGAAATTTGAATAGTTCTCAATTTCGCAAGTGAAAAGATCCCTTTACTTAAAACGGATAAAGGGTCAAAAATATAAACATTTATATGAAAGTTCGAAAATCGCCAAATGTATAGTCGAAGATGTGTATTTATAGGGTTGAACATGGGTGCATTTTGGTATGAAGAAATGTTAAAAGAGTTGGAATTGTAAAAGTTTTAATTTATGAATCAAAAGAGTAAATGACTCATTAAAGTGGGTCATTTCAAATTTTCAAGACATTCTCTAAAACTCTCTTTATTTTTTGGTAGAAACATTTCCTAAAACTCTCTAGTTACGTGCATCTATATCTATAAAACTATAAAAGTTGATCACATTTCATTTTCCTCCTCTTAATAACATGAAAATCCTCGGTTAAATTCATTGACCAGTCAGGCTAGTTAATAAGATAATTTTGCATCATTAATTATTTGTAATGCAAAACTTTTCGGGCAGAGTGTCGTTTGACTCTCTGAACTATTACTCTAGTTGAAGCTATTTTTTTGGTAAATTAACCGTCCTAAACTATTTGAAATAAACCAATTAATCCCGTGTCTTTAGATTCCGTCCACTATGCCGTCAAATTCAAGGACAACTTAGTGTTTTTATCATTAATTCTTATATGTCATTTATAACCGTCAATAAAATTATGACATGTAGATGCATAATAATATGTAATGACAATGTGAAATGATCTGTTATGTAAACGTTTTGTTTCTTTATATTTCTTGTTATGTTATAAATTTTTGAATTATTCTGTGTCCCGTGTCATTATTTAAGAATTGATGATGAAAAAAAGTAACTTGTCATTGAATTTGACAGCGTAGTGGATGGAATCTAATGGCAATGAGTTAATTTGGCTGATTTTATATAATTCAAGGGTTAATTACCAAAAAATTAGTTCAAGAAGTTAATTTCAACTGCGATAATTATTTAGGGGTAAAGTTTACTCAAACTTTTTAAGAATTCTCTGTCATCTCATTTTTTAGCCATATTGACACAAAAATTAATATTAAACTTTAAGGTAACAGAAAATCTACAAAAAAACTTATTTTTGAGAAATTCTCGTTATCATTTTTCTAATACATTTATCGATATTAAATTATCGGACATTTACCAGAACCAGCAAACAAGACTCCGAATTTCTTTTTTTTTTTTAAATATTTTATTTCGGAAAATCACTGTGTGATGTCAAACATATGGTAAAGCAAAGCATCAAGTTGAAACTACCAAAATGCCCTTACTCTCTTAAGCTTCTTACACATACAGACCCATCACACACATACTCTCACACATCACAGTTTACAGAGTCGCAGTTTACAGAGCCAATCAACAAATATCTCTTCTTCTCTCCCTTCCTTCTCACCTCCTCTCTCTCTCTCTTCCCGTTTCAGTCGAACCAGTTTCTTGGGTTCGCAGAAGCTTGCCCAGCCTCACATGCCAATCCCCAATCTCTGAACTTTTTGATCTGGGTTTCCAATATTTCACCCTCAGATCATATGTTCTGCCATTAAAATATCCTTTTTTTTCACTTCGAATCCAGAGACTGAGAAAATCCCATCTCCGTTTTGGTGTTCTCTGAGCCTCCTATGAGTACTTCACTAGATTCTGAGAGTTGGGTTTTGTCACAACAGGTCAGTTTCTTCTCTCTCTCTCTCTCTCTCTCTCTCTCTCTCTCTTGCATTTTGTGATTGGGATTTGGAATATGCGTTAAATTGTGTATTTTGTTGCTTTCTGTTTAAAAAAATTTGTGGGATTTGGATGTTGAAGCTGATTGAAAGAAATGGTTTATATGATGGTACAAATGAAACGAGAAATAGTTTTGATGAAAGTTGAGTTCTACCCAGTTCATTGTGCATGTAATTCATGCTGCCTTATGGATCTTGCTTGGATTTTTCTGTGTGCTTTTGGGTGTGAATTTCAAGGTAATAAAATTTGTTACTTTGATTTTACATGTTTTGAAAGTTCGAGTCTTTGCGGAGATGTGCCTTTTTATTTGTATTTTGGTTCTGTTGTGATTAAAATTGATGTGTTTTCACCATAGGCAGTAAACCTGTGTGAATTTTGACTTTGGTGGCCGAAAACTCTGAATCTTTGTAGCAGTAGTTCATTGTTTTGATTCGGTTCCAGGCATGTAAGATCCCCTATCTTGTAGTGACGCAAACTTAAAAGATTTGGCTGCAATCACAGAGTCTCTTGTATGGGGTTTTCAATATGTAACTTTCTTTACTGCCTGATTGGTTTGCTGTGCAAAAAGAAGGGACAGTTCTCAATATCATCTTTTGGAAGTCAAAATAACTGAGTAAAGTGACCTAGAGTTGTGTTTTTCATTGTTTCATTTGACTAAATCTTAATATGGCGTTCCAACGGAAGATGCGTCAGTTGATGTTTGAAATGAAAACGAAACCTACTCAATTTTGAACTCCTAAAAGATTTGCATGTGATAAATAGATTATGAACTGCTTTTATATTCTGAAGTTAGTTGTTTATGAGTATTGGATGCCTGCTACTAGCCTGTTTTACATATTTATTACAAGTATTGATCCTATGTCCTGTTGGTTGTTCCTTATATATGTACCTCACGCTGTCTAGCTATTTAGTTGGTTGATATGTTACTTAACATCAATGATGGGATCGTTATATCCTTTGAGAAGCCACCAGATGTTTAAGTAGGATTGCATATAAGTTGTGTTATCCCCGTGTTCAGTGAATACTGAATAGTAGGGGGAATGAATTGCTTTCTCAGTTCTGAATTGTACCTTAAGTAACAATAACTGAAAATAACGTTCTTATATGTTTTTCATTGCAGCAGAAAACTTATATTGCATAAAATATTTTTCTCTGGAGTTTTGAGATCATGGGTAGAGGTAGAGGAAAGGGAAAGAGGTTAACTGTCAACAATCATGATGATCCTGGAAGTGGTGAGGAAGAAAAAATACCGGCACAAAAGAGAAGGGGAAGGCCTCAAAAGCCATTAAAAGATGAGATTGATGAAGAAGAAGCTGAAAGAATAGAGGCAGATGATAGTGAGAATGGAAAGTCTGGTATCTCAAGCAAGGAGGTAAAAAGCCCCTCTGCTTCAGAGAATGGTAAGAAGAGGAAGCGGCAATCACAGGTGAAAGAGAAGTCAGATTCAGTTAAGGAGGAAAATGGTAATGGAACAAGATCAAGCACTGATGACTCAACTAAGTCTAATGGATTTCGGCATAATGGGAGCAGGCGGAAAAACAAGCCCCGTCGAGCAGCTGAAGCTGGTGTTGAATGCAATTGACAGATGGTAACCTATGCATCCTTTCTCGTTGCTGAAAAATTACGGGGACAGGAAGTGAGGCCTAGTAAATCTCTAGTTTCTTTCTTCTTTTGCTGCTTAATTGTTCTTTCTTCAGTAATTTCGTACCATCATTCCTTTTTTATTTGAATTGTGAAATTTGCAATGCGTTCTGATGAATGTGGTTTTCCATGGTGCTCTGACATTTTAAATTTTGACTATCTTATTTTTTGCATTGTATAATTTGAGGAACATGTTTAAGCAGTTGCTATCTCTCACATTGTTATCTGTCTTTTGTGTAACTAATGAGATATCATGTAGATTCATATTAGTTAACTTAACTAAAAGTTTGTACTATACTCTGTACGATTAACAGTTCTGAGAAAATCAGCTTTAACGCTTCCCCCTAATTATAACAATTTGCATCTGTTAGAGCACTTTTATTTAGGCCACTTTTATTTAGGCCTTACTGAAAGGAGAGTTCATCTTCTCCTGATCTACTTTGGTTTTGAATTGTTACTTTATGGTGCCTATATAACTTGGTTTTGGATTAACATCGGACTTAGGAAATGTTTAGGCTTCCATCAGATCATTTTGTCCCTCTTCGGACTTTCACACATGTGCATGCGTGGAATACAGTTCAGAGTAAGCACACATTTTCTAGATTATACTGGATGTATTACTCATATGGACGATTAGCTATAAGTTTCCACCAGCTAGTTAGGGCCAGACCTTTCTTATGGTTTCAGAGGTATATGCTTCTTCCTGAGCCTTGATATGAGCCTACAGCTAAAAGCATGGTGGTTAGTATCTTGTTTAAAATGGTTGTAACGAATTCTCGTGTTCTTGAAGGCAAAGCTTTTCCAAACGTTGAAAACTAAGAATGCATGGAGGGTTGAGTAACAAATTGAAGTCAAGGTTTTTGTTTAGACTTTGTTTTAGCTTCAAAAGTTCAGGGTTGCAATTTGGACCTGTGTTCAGTCAGTCTCTCTAATTATTACACTTGTAGTTAACTTCTGTAATTTCCGCTTTCCTGTAATATGTTTGTTAGTTAGCAGGAGGAGTTTTATCCTTGCTTGGTGTTTATGAATGGAAACATAATGTTCCTAGGATCATATATCGGTTGCTAGGCCATAGTTGTGGATACTATTTAGGGTGTTTTGACTGATATGAATTATCTAGTTCGATATTCTAAACCGCAGTATCATTACATGCTTTCTTTCATGTGAAATAGTTTTAAGGTGTGCTTTCAGAATTCTAGGTAAAGGTTTTGTAGTGGCTTGAAAATTGTCGATTAGGACATCACATTGGTTTTCAAGTTGTCTTGTATGGCTACTCGGCACTTGAACAGGTGAATTCTAGGAGAATGACAAGTTTAACGTGAAAAGATAGGGCGGTTTTATCCATAATCATTTTTATTTTTCATATATCCCTCCTAATTTTTGGCCGTCAAATCGATTGAATTCAAGATGATCAAAAAACAAAAATTAACAAAGGGTTTACGTGTGGAAGGTAAAAATGGGTGTGGATAGGGCCACCCAAAAGATGTTATCCCGGCTTGGTTTCTTGTTTTAGGTTATTCCAGCTGTGTCTCGGATTCCGAGAGGAATTCTTAGGTACAACCTGGTATACTCCCTTATTCGCAACCATCTCATCACGTCACACAAAGATTCTAATAGCGCGTGATATACAATAAGTTACATTAGAAATAAGTTTTTAATAGTTCGGACTACTAGTAGTCCGGCCTTGTATTCATTAGATTGACAAGTAAGAATATTATTTTCTCAATTTAACTCTGAGCGGTCGAACTATTGAGAAAAAATTATAGAAACTCTCCTCGAAGAGTGAAGACTGTAATATTTGGTTTCTCATGATAATTGTTTGCGGTCTAGAAGATACTAGTTTTTCATAATTCTTAAAGAAGTTTGTGGTATGCGCTAATTATCATGTGTCGAACTATGTGATTCACACGGCTCCAGACACAAACACAACCACCTTACCCAACCCTTTTGCTTTTTTCATCTTCACTTGGCCCATTTGTGTCTCATCCCTTCTCACACCACACTAATGACCCACCACTGATGATGAACACACCTAATACCTTCGCCTTCATGGGGTAACCTCCTATCCCTAAACTTTTCGCCATCAAAAAATTCAACGCCTGTCTCTTATTTAATTTGACTAGTTAGTCTCTTATTTAATTTTGGTTGTCATTCTTTTCAGAAAGAGTAATGCAACGGAGATCAAACATTTAAATTATATTTTGTAAATTATATAACGTGATTGACGATGATTAGATTATTACTTCATTGTTGATTAACTTGCTTATTTTTTATTGTGGCATATCACATAATTTGTAAATATAGTTTAAAAAAATTTGTCTGCCTAGTATTATTCTTTCGGAAAAACAAACCAAGTTTCGAAAAGTGGTTCGGGTGAGTGTGACATAGAGTTGAAAACCAATCAGATCCAAGCCCATTGGGCTATGTATTCAGATGTTTTTGGACGAAGCCATATATTCAGATTCAGCAGGGGTTCATGGTCGAAAATACTTTTTTTTTCTATGTCATCTGATGCCTGCATCTTAAATGCTCAAATTCTCAATTTAAATATTCAAATTGTGACTCAACCAACCCAAGTTGCAATAATAATAATAATAATAACAACTTAACATGAGTTTGAGTGTTGTCAAATGTGAGAAGACGTGTGAGGATGTGAAGTGTTTTCGCATTTCAGAAAGTTAAGAGATTTTGCATATGCTTATAAGAAATTAAACTACTACTTATATTGCCAATTCCTTTTATGGTGAAACCTCTACTTCCTTGCCCCCTTATTGGAGTTTGCATAGCTAGGGATTGGGATACTCATGAAAGAAGGTGTTGGTGCGGCTGGAGATGGATAAATTTTCTCATTTAACCAATACTTAATCTTAGTAGTAGTGTTAGTCAAGGTGGCCATGATAGGACCGTTGAGCGCAACTGGGCAATACAATTTTATATGCTACCATGAGTTCATGCTTGGAATATCGGTGTATTTTGTAGGTTTATGGATCCAATCACAACTGGTGACTATCCTCAAGAGCATGCGAACATATGTTGGATCAAGATTACCTCAATTCACAAAAGAAGCAGTCCGATTCTCTAAACGGGTCATATGATTTTATAGGAATCAATTACTACACTGCTAGATATGCAAGCAATCCACTAAAGAATTCATCTGACCCTGAAAGCTACATAAATGATCCTCATGTTAATGAGACAAATGAATACAAATTAAAAACTTGTTTCAATCAATTAATTAAGTTCTTAGAGTAGTTAGATTCTAATATTTGGGTATATTATGACAGTTGCGGTTAATGGAAAGCCCATTGGTCCCCGGGTATACATCCAATTTGAACTTAAATTTTTTAGCATTTGGAGGATTAATATGTATATTTTCTTCATAAAAACATAACTCGTGATGAGAATTTCATTATCTTTAAATGGTCTTGTAGGCTGTTTCAGATTGGTTATACATTTATTCAAAAGGAATTCATGATCTTATAATTTTACCAAGAAAAAGTATAATGATCCAGCCATTTACATTACTGAAAATGGTAAGCATTAATACTTTCATCCTTAATTGATTGCTTCATCAACGTTTCACATGTGTATATATAAGTAAATCTAGGTGTTTTAAAGTCTAAACTCAAAACTAATGCAAATTTATTTATTTATAGATAAAATTATCAACGCAGTTGATAATTTATTATGTTGCAGGTGTCAATGAGTTCAATAATCGCAGCTTATCACTAGAGCAAGCCTTTAAAGATACCATAAGAGTCAACTACCATCGTGACCACCTTTGTCACCTTAAAGCAGCAATTCAGTTAGTACTTGTTAAGGAATTAGATAAGGCTACATATAATATACATGAATATGCCTTCTTACATTTTTTTATAGTTATCTATATCAATGCACTTTGTTTTCTATGTGTGTACGCAGATCGGGTGCTAAAGTAAAGGGATACTTTGCATGGTTGATACTAGATAACTTTGAATGGGCAAAGGGATATAGTAGTCGATTTGGTCTCAACTATGTGGACTATGAAGGTGGACTGACAAGGTACCCAAAATGCTCAGCGAAATGGTTCAAAACTTTCTTGAAAAAAAGCCAAAAAAAAATGGAAAATATATTCAAGTATATGTGGATGATAATGCTGAGGACATCAATCTTGTGTATCAAATTTGAATCCCAAATGTGATGAATAAAGTACAAGAATCCACCAGAATCATTGGGCAAGTTGTTTTTTCAAGTTTTAGTTATTAGTTTGACTCATTATGAGTCAGAATAAGTTAAAGCAACTCATTCTGAGTTTATTGTCTCTCCTTATGGCTATTTAGTTTTACTTTTGCTTTGTGTTGTTGGTGTATCCAAGCCTGTTGGATTTTACGACAAAGTTGTTTTCGTCCTTTGTGAATTTGGTTGGAAAAATACCTTATTATTTAAATGTTGTTTATGTACTCCCTCCTGTATTTGTATTGGGCATTTGTGGCTTTTGGCTGACCCTTTGTTTGTAAATCCAATTTGTTATTAGTTATAATAAAAGTAATTGCAAATTCGAGTTATTTCTCAGAAGCTAAATTGTTTTTACCTTCAACTATTTGGCAATATGAGAAGTATCTCAATCTTTTAGAAGTTCTTATAAGGTTTCTCATTTAACCGATGTGACACTCTTTTACCTTTACATTCTCACACACCGTCTTATGTCTACTAGCTAGACTAAATCAAATTTATCTAACGATAATCAATGAGATGGTGAAATCTTTAATCAAGAAAATTTCCTATTGTTACTTGATAACTCATTCTATACTTTTCTTTGCCCTAAAATATTTTTGAACGTATCTGGTGGAATCTATTGCAAATTTGGCTACTATCTCATTTATTATTTTAAATTTACAAATTGGTTGCCATGTATAATATGATGGGAGAAATTTTTGAATGTACGTATCATAATTAAGCAGAGGGACATTGAGAAATATACACTAAAAATGTTACATATCAACAATGGCGTTTACTGGCATTTTAATGCATGGTCTACCATCTTGTGATGGGTGGGAGTGATAGGTTAGTTTAATTTTTGAGAAACTGACACAAATGGGCTATTTTCTTAATTTTGGGATAAAATAGGAGTTTTTTTTTTCCCTTCTTTTTGATATGCACAGAACATGCACACGACATACACAACAATATGACAAAAATAAGATTTCCTAAAACTTTAAATTATCAAATTTCCCTCC